GGACTATTGCGTAGAGGAAGTGTCTCCATGTATAGGCATGTGTGCATACATGTGCTGTATTACAGCACCACAAGGCAACATCGACGTTATTTACAAGAGGAGCCTTCAGCCTCCGCACCGTACTTTGGGTCCATCCTGCCTTCCTTGTCCTCCCTCCCCAGCCTATTTGCCATTCGTTTTTCCATACCACCCCCATCCCCAAAGTCTTCTGGGCACTGCCAAGTTCATTATTCCTCTACATGTCTGTAGAGGAAGCCGGAGCAGCAGCAGTCAAACCATAAGGGACACGAAATCTCAGGCTGTGCCTGAGAGCCTGGGCATAACTGCAGTGCTGGCCGCTGGGCACCTACGTCCTTTCCAGGACGCGGCAGCGGGTGGTGACAGACCTGCACATCCTGCAGCCATCATCTGCGGTCTCCAAAGGGGACAGAGTTTTTACTTTCTGCTCTCAAATGCAGCAGAGGTGAAACATGCGAAACGGCTGTGAAAGTAGCACAGCCTTCATTTACCCCGGGCACAGCTATTAGCACGGAGAGAGGCTTTACAAGCTGCTTTACCACTGCCATCTGCATTCAAAAACTATTGGGGGGGCTTTTAAGGATACACAGGGGCAGTTCGCTGGCCAAAGTTACTGTTTTTTTCAGCTAAAGATACCAAGGCAGAGTGGAGGCTTAAAGGTTTCAGGTCAACTCTAATTTTAACTAGAGTGGTTTTCTCACCTCTGCCTGTGTCAAAGGCGGTATCACAGTATCAGGATTCAGTGTCAGCTGCCAGAGATTTGGTAGCAATGCAACCACTTTTATCCCCATCATCACTATTTAACAAGGATGAAAATAGCCACCTCAGTGCAGCCCCCCTCCCTCCGCTCGGGAGAAAGACTTCAGCAGCTGGTTCCCAAGCCCATCTTTAACCTCGGCAAGAGCAAATTCTACCAGAATCACTTTATTACACTCCATGACCCAGCTGCATCTCTGCAAAAGCAGCTCCCTTCAGATGCATTCTTTAATTCTCTGCTCCACTTCTCACAGCAGCACCACAAGGCAACATCGACATTATTTACAAGAGGAGCCTTCAGCCTCCGCACCATACTTGGGGTCCATCCTGCCTTCCTTGTCCTCCCTCCCCGGCCTATTTGCCATTTGTTTTTCCATACCACCCCCATCCCCAAAGTCTTCTGGGCACTGCCAAGTTCATGCATTTGCATTCCTGCAGGGGTTTGTGGTTGCGTTTCCACAAGGAGATTCAGGGTCCAGCTAACACATTTGCATGGCACAAGCACTCGGAAAAGCAGACAAGCCGCGCCACCAGGCACGTGCTTTGACTCCTGGTGAGAAGAAAATGCCCATTTGAGGAAATTATTAATTTTGCAGACTGGATTCAGACTACACAGCACCAGTCTCTGCTCATGCAACTTCAGAGCTCTAATGCCCCCTTGCACAGGGAGATAGCACGTAGGGGAACGTAAGTGTTCTTCACCCCTTTATGGTAGAAGCCACGTCACCTTTTCTTCCCCACCTTCCCTTGATGACAACTCTTACCTTCAGCAAGCAGGAGGATCCATCTGTGGCAGCCAGGGTCTGCCTTGGGGCTCTGGCAAGATGTAGGGTAAGGGTAAGCCGATGTACAAGATTGCCATACGTTTCTTTTGCTCATCTGTGGGATGGATCTGCCCCCATCTGCCTTGGGGCTCTGGCAAGATGTAGGGTAAGGGTAAGCCGATGTACAAGATTGCCATACGTTTCTTTTGCTATATAACTTTTGTGGATTAGCAGCTGCACCGTATGTTAAATGCAATAATTAAATGAATTAAACTGGCCCTGCAAGTGCAGCTTGCAGTCTCCTCTCTGGTGAGACTTCTCTAATAAAATTATAATAAAAGTAAGTTAGAAAAATTAAATATTTAAATTCTTACCAGTGCTGGAAGAAGGTCCAACACTGCTCTGCCTTTTGTATCATCCAAAAACCTTAGCAGCTTCTTAATAACTTCTGAGATGTGCACCTGCGCAAGCATGTGGCAGGGAGCTCACCTGAGCTGAATTAACCCCTAGCCATTAACCCCTCTGCTTGCCACTGCAGACAGTCACATTGTCGGGTACATTTGATCTTGCTGTGGTAGGAGCGCCCCTCTCACAGGGAAACTGTCTCAGCGTGGAGAGTTTAAAAAATAGAACACCTAGGCGGAAAATAGGTACTGGCAGGCAACGCTTTATTCTCATCGACTGTGAGGAACAGTATGCACGAAAGCACCACTTGAGGCCAATAGAGAGTTAAGAAACCAGTTACATGCGTTACTTTTCAAACCTGCTTCGCAAGTGCTACAGCTAAATGCATGAAAACAGGTTCTGGGAGGCCTCGTATGACGTGCACAAAAGCTTTTTTTCTCCCAAGTGCAGAAACGTCCCCCCACATTCCCAAGGGCCAGAGCACATCCAAAGTGAAAGTAAAACCAAAGAGCTTTTATTCAGCCCGGCAAAAGCAGCCGGTGCGGAGCAGCGTTTATGGGGCTCCAGAGGGAGAGATCTGCAGAGGAGGGAAACAGCAAGAACAACTTTTGAGGTAGAAGAAGCAAAACCAGGAGGCCCTCTAGAGATGCCAGCTGCTAAAAAAAAAAAAAAATTCCTGTTAAAATAGGTCTCAGGCACTAGCAAACTGCAGGTGCTTAATGAAGCGACATACTTCAAGATCTGCTCTTTAAACTCTGCCACCCTCTAACATTTAGGGAAGTGATCGTGCCCCTGTACTCGGCACTGGTGAGGCCGCACCTCGAATACTGTGTTCAGTTTTGGGCCCCTCACTACAAGAAGGACGTCGAGGTGCTGGAGCGTGTCCAGAGAAGGGCAACGAGGCTGGTGAGGGGTCTGGAGAACAAGTCTTATGAGGAGCGGCTGAGGGAACCGGGGTTGTTTAGCCTGGAGAAAAGGAGGCTGAGGGGAGACCTCATCGCTCTCTACAACTACCTGATAGGAGGTTGTAGCGAGGTGGGTGTTGGTCTCTTCTCCCAAGTAACTAGTGATAGGACGAGAGGAAATGGCCTCCAGTTGCGCCAGGGGAGGTTTAGATTGGACGGGAGGAAAAAATTCTTTACTGAAAGAGTGGTGAAACATTGGACCAGGCTGCCCAGGGAAGCGGTTGAGTCCCCATCCCTGGAGGTATTTAAAAGACGTGTGGATGAGGGGCTTAGGGACATGGTTTAGTGGGCATGGTGGGGTTGGGGTGACGGGTGGGCTTGATGATCTTAGAGGTCTTTTCCAACCTTAATGATTCTATGATTCTCCAGCGTTTCACCCTGAGCATTTGGGTGCGCACGTATACTCTGTGCAGCTCTGTCACGCCTGCAAAACAACTGCACGCCACCAGGCTGTTTCTGTTTCTGGTAAGTTGTTAGAAAAATTTCCCGAGATGCTAAAGTCCAAAATGCTCTAGCAGATCTGCAAAGACTATGGCTTCCACCAGGCTCTGCAGGATCCGCAGAGACACCGGTGTTTCAGAGCCAGGTCCCTGGCCTTGATCACATGCCAAGACTTCACAGAGATGAGTTCCTGAGTGCTCCCTGCTACCAAAAGTTGGGAGTTAAAAACAAAAAACAGCAGCAAAAACACATTTTAGAAGAGTCTACTAAATAATTTTGCCGCTTTAGTACTGTACTAAAAAAAAATAGAGATTCCTTAAGAGGTGACCCAATGCAACAATAGTATCTGGCAAGTTGGAGTCCTCTATAGCTTTAGACATACCAAACGATGCAGCAAATAAATGTAAGACCCCAAGACCCTTGGGATGGGCAGATCTCCCTGGAATATTCTTTGGCCTCCCAGCTTCATACAAGGTCCTTGTACCTGTCAAGAACCTGTCAAGGCTCTTTTAATCTTCCATGGGCCCAGAGTGTTTCATGCCGTTATTTTCCTATTTTTTCTTCTCTCCAAAACTTCTGTTTTTCTTTCTTTCAAAACTCTGCCAGTGTACTGAGGATTATATGAATATAGATCAGGCTGCTCTGTTTTCATATCTGACTATACAGATGCACCAACATCTACTGCTTTCTCTTCTCTCATTATTTCTCCCCTTGTGCTTCTAAACCTTTGTATGGTGAAGGACTGGCACATGCCTTCCTCACTCTGTTCCCTGAATCTCAGCTTCAGAAGTGCTTTATTGGTCCGCATATAAGGCAAACCCTTCACTTCTCAAAAGACGGAAAAAAAGATTTAGAAAATGTATATATTTTAAAAAACTATACCTCGTCCCATGATGCCTGCCCACAGCTTACCTCTCCCCAGCTTCTGTAGGACACCCTCAGCCCACTCACTGCCCAGCACCCTGTGTGTCACCCAGCACACCCTGCAAGGTGGCACAGCCCCCTGCCCCGAGCCCCTCTCCTGCACCTCCCCGGGGGCGTCCCAAGGTGCTGGGAGGCAGTCGGATGGCACCGGTCACCTCCCCACATCAGTCCATTGCATGGGGGGGCAGAGGGGACTACAGACAAGATGCATCCCCTGAAATGGGAAGAAAATTTCAGTGAGCTGGGGAGATTTCTGTTGTCGTGGGACTGGGGGTCTGAGCTTGACCTGGACATCTCAGGTATCTGCCATTGCACCAGCAGCTACCAGAGATTTGTAAAGGGGCCACCTGGTAGCTTCACACCTACGGCGTACACTGGCACATACAGTGAGCTGCACATCCTCCGATAACCCCACCGCATATCCTCTGGGCTCGCGGGTCCTGGTTTCTCATTCTCTGCTTCCCAAATCAAGCCATCTAATCCTATAGCCCCAATGCTTCCAAAGCTCATCTCTTACTTTGTAAGTAAATATATATGTATATGCACATCTCTTATTTTCTAAGTATGTATATAAATATATTATTTTCCTTTTTACAGTTACAGATTGCATTTACACATAGGTTTTATTTTTTTGGTATCTATGCAAGCTTCTTAGGGAAGATGAGCTCAAAATATAAAACTTTTGAAAACATTTCATTTTGGTTTTTATTATTTTTTAAAAGCCTACATCAAAATATACTATGTATGTCTGTAGCTATAAACTCTGTAGGGTAAATCCCATTCTTCAAACACACAGAATAAAACCAATGCCACTGCCACAGCCACATCGTCCACTTTTGCCTCCATCTATCCCACTCGACACCTCTCCATCAGCTTCCCGGAGCACACCAAGCCTTCACCGGACATTCAGGCCCAAAATATTCTGGAGGTTTTTCTCCACATGCTGAGACTGTCTGGCAGCAGCCACCTTCAGCCTGGAGCCCATCACTTCATAGAGGCTCCTTGCAAGCTTGGTGACCACAATCTTGATACTGTTGCTTCGGACAGGCAGGACCCTGTTTCCCAGGAAGAACCAGAGCACGGGCAGGGCGTAGCGCTGGACAGCTTGGGGTCTCTGGCGATAAACAGATGCCACAAGCACTGCCGGGCGAGAGAGACAAGCTTCTTAACAACCTTGATGCAAACAAGTACTTACTTTTATTTGTGGTTCTCAGAAGCCTTTTCTGGCCAATATCAGCAAGCACTAAAAGCCCGATGATCCAGAAACAGGCAATAGTGGCTGATCATCCACTGAACGGAACAACCAACCTCTGAGGACTTTAATTTCTCCAAATCAGGGTCTTTGTATCCATGATAGACTTAGCAAAGTGAATCATACACATTTTGTAAATTGTTTCACTATCCGCTTCTGCATTACAAATGACAAAAATGTCAAATCACTGTTTATTTCCATTAAGAAGTTGCCTAAACCAGCTGCTGAAGATTTTGAAATGCAGCTTAGAGAGGTAATAGAAAGCTTTCTAATAAAAAGGATGATTACTTTTTTGTGACCTTTGATGAAAAATGCCAAAAGTCTAATCTGGCAGTTCCCTTTGCTCAGTGGCACACAGCAAACGGCAGTATCATACCACACTTCAAAACTCCAGCCCACAAAAATGTGTGCTGCTTGACAGTTTTCTCAGAAACATCAGTGACTAACTGATGCCATTGGCAGAATGGTCTAATTTGAGGTTTTTCCTCTCATACTTGGTGGCTTCTAATGAACACCTGTTTCAAACTTCAGGGTGTCTTAGATAATGACTCAGACCCCACTGCCATGGCATTTGAGCATCTCACAGTTTTAATGGCGTTTACCCTCACAATGTTCCCTGAAATAGGGGAATAGAGAGAGAAAAATCTTACACAAGGGGATGAAATTTAACCAAAAAACAAGCATTCCCTCCCATTCTCTCTGAAGTCTGCTCTCAGCTCATTTTCTGAACTGAACTATATTAAATACAAACAAAAATTTACTACCAATAGGCTCCTTGCATGGCAGATTTTGCTGAGAGATCAAAATCTGAAATGGTCTGGAGACAGAGTTCTTATTTTCTGTTCAGTGGAAATGTTACTCAGTAACCACTTATTATTCTGTAGTGGAAGGACCTTCATTTTCTCTAAGCTGTTAATCTAGCATCAGTCATCAACATTTAAACAGCTCCTGAAAGTACCTAAAAACAATTCTGGTAAGCAGGAAAAGGGTTATGGTACCTATTTTAAAATGGGAGTTAATTTGAGTTTAAATGCTATTAAACACAGCGGTCACTATGGAGCTTCAGGAGAGAAAGAGCTGTCTGTTCCCACTAAATCCCAGAGAGAACATCTGCTCTCTCTAAAGTAGTCCCAATTTATGTTCAAATGCTGTATTTGAAAAAGAGATTAAAATAACTGTAAAACTAAATTCTATGTTTATGGAGATTTACTTTATCCAAATTATCTTTAAAGGCCCTTTTACATTTGCTATGGCTAAACATGCCCTTTTGAGATTCATAATGAAGCAGCAAAGTATATTAAACCTTGGATTAAAAGATACTGGCATAATTAGTAGTGGATTTAGCCCTAATTAAACAAGGCTATAAATAGTTTTCTCTAGTATATATTGAGATTATAATTTTTTCCATTCCTTGGCTATTGCTGACATAGCAAGCTACTATTATAAATCAATTATCAGCTGGATTTGTAGTGTGTCGGACACCGCTGATACAGAAATAGACTGTTTGCACATACTGAAATGCTCAGAGTCCAATGTCATATCAGCAATACAGGCTGGGAGCCTCAGTGGGTTGGGCTGAACTGCCCACTTCTGCCCCTCTGCCCGCAAATACTGTCCTGCACAAAATCCTTGCCTGGAATATGCGTGTTTTCACCCACAGTATGACCCCCAGGCTCTGCAGGATTCAGCCTCAAAAATTTCCAACAGGAAAACAAGAATCCCGTGATGACAAAACAAACTGATCCTCAGAAATACCAGTTGCCACAAATTTTTCTGAAGGATGGTCGTTCGCTTCAGAAAAGGGACCTCTTACAGACCTCCATGACCTTTACTGTACTGTCCTTCAAAGAGAGGAGCCAGCCAGGGTATTTTTAGCCCCTCTCTTTCCTGGAGGCAGGTCCTGAGATACGCCAGTGAGAGCTCAGCACTGGAGCCCAAGTGCCATCCTCATCTCACATGCTTCACGCCTCTGCAGCAGCCAGGCAAACCCCTGCTAAATACACCTATTATGTGTATTTTGCAGAAGAGACAAGCTCAGGACCTTCTGGTGTTTGATAAGCCACTGCACTGTCTACTCAGAGGCATTCCCTCTAAATATTCCCTCTGAAGTCTTCTTGACTTAAACGTGGAAATTAGCTGAAGCAGGCGATACCTGAGACATGTTCTGTGACATCCAGCAGAGCCTGGCCGCTGAGGGAAGGCACTCGGTGGGCTAATGCTTGCAGCAGCAATGTGTTATCTGAAAGAGAAACATTATTTCTGCTCACTCTTCTGAGGTTATAAGAAAAAAAAAAGGGGGGGGGAGGGCAGAGGTAGCAGAGGTAACCACATTTTGTAAAATAAAGTAAATTTCTGCCAGTTTCTGAGTCCTTTTCTTCTTTCCTTCCAGCTTACTTGGGAGGATTTTAAATTCAAAAAGAAAAGCTCTCATTTCACATTTGTAAATACAAAGTTGACTGCTGTACAAGGAGCTGTGTCAAACATTTCACATCAGGGCCCCCAAAATTTAAGTCACATGTAAGCAGTGAAAAGGGTTTGCGTCCTGGAGCTTTGCAGAAATTACCTCCTCCCTCCCCTAAGGAAAAGGGTCAGAAGGCTCAAAAGTCCACATATCCATTCACACTTTAAGGATAAGCTGGTGTTAAATCTTTAAGTGTTGGGATATATGGACAAGACCCCAGAGTACTTTTACAAGAGAGAATTCCTGCTCATTGCCAACACCATCCGCTCTCAACAGCTCTTGTAACATCTCTGAAATCAGATCTTGGCAGAGAGACTGGAAAACGAACTAATTTCCCAATACTTGACTGTCATATGTATTTTAGTTTTTTCTATACTGCCTGTTGTTGATTTGGGGTCTTGTTTTAATTTATAAACTGTTGCCTGGATTGGTCTGCAAGCCTCCAGTCTTACCGCTTCGATAAGCCAAGCAAAGCTTTTCTTGGAGGCAGAATGTGCGTGGGATGCGCTACGATACCTTGTGGTGCCACCAGGAGTGGCACCGATAAAGCAGGCAACCTACTTCTTTGTGAACCACTACAGAGCCAAGTCCCAAAGTGGTTTGAAGTAGCACTGCGCTATTAAGTGCTCCTTTTTGCATGAGATATAAAAAGGAAGTCGCTAATGATTTTCTTGCAAGCGTGCAGTAAAGAACTGATCCTGCTACCCTAATTAAGCTTCTGCTTTGGTAATTACACTCTTCTCATTCACTTTTTTAAACAGACACTTCACTTTTTGCCTCACAGTCTTGCAGTATTGGCAGACGCTGTTTCACACTTGCTGTTCCTCCCCAGAGAGTTCCCTTACAGCTGCTGCTTTGAAAAAAATGCCCCAAGATCTGGAGATCTTGAAGGAGCATAGAATGTTAATTAATCATTAATATTGGTGTCTACACAGATTTTCAGGGGAATGCTTGGGTTTTGGGTGGGTGAGGGGAAACTGGTTTTTTGCTTGTTTTTTTAGGAATCTAAGTGTATAGGCACTATTCACCTTTCAATCTAAGGGTTTCAAATGCCCTGTGCATTTTGAAACAGTAAAGCCCAAGTCAATAACAAATTTACCCAACCATTACTTTAGCTGCCTTCAGAGACCTAAAAACAGAGGAACCTTTAATGGCTGTTAGAGAAAACAAGGCGGCAGGCAGTTCAGTTCTTATTAACTCAGCTTTAATTCTCTGCACTACATATTAGCTAAACCTGTTGGCCACAGGACAGGCAGCCCAGTGTTTGCAATATGAGCAAAAGAAGAATCTGCTTCTCCGTGCTCTCATTTTCAGTGCGGTCCCCTCTTTGCTATATTAACACCTACAGGGGAAATTTCCCTTGCCCTCTTGCAGAGGGTTGATTCCTCTGGGAGCTACTCGGGCTGCTGGCCTGACTCCACACCCTGCTGTCACGCAGTGGCCACCTGAAGGGTATTTCTTTCATGACAGAGGACAGGGTAGGACAGACATCAGAGGAGAGCAAGATCTATGTCTTGGTCCCATTGCAATCGGCCTTGATTTGCTGATTCGCCCCCATCTACAAGGTAAGTCCCTCGAGTGGGATTAGGGTCCCATGTCACAGCTAATGAATGTGTGTGGCCTTCAGCTGGGGATGGCCAAGCCAATGTCAGGTTAAGCTAAATAAATGATTCAGGCATTATTTGGAAGCAAATTAGTTTGTTTGTAGGTAGAATTTTTGGTCTCGGGGATGGGAGGGGTTTTTTTTGTTTTTTAGGGTTGTTTTTGTTTTTACATCGAGTGGTCAAGCAATTTTCTAACCAGCTTGCATTTTTGCATGGATCATTAAAGGTGACAGATGAGGAAGTCTCACCTAAAACTCAGAATCTGAGGCATGTCAACATAGAGTCTTGGAGCAATAGCTGGGCTCTTAGCTATGAAACTCAGTGGAGCAATGGGGCAAGACATTGCGCTCACTTACTCTAAGCCAGCAATGTTGCACAATCCTTTAGAGTTCGGGGGGGGTGTTGTCATTTGCCACTTGATTTTAAATTGTAAAGGCAGACAATTTTAAAGCATATGGGAAGGTTTCACTCACACATTTTTCCAGTAGAACTTTCCTTCCCCCACTGAAGCCCTGGGTATTGAATTTTGAAATATTTGTGATTCAGTTGCCTGTTTGAATTTTTGCAAACATCCATAAAAATGAGCAGAACCAAAAAAATATATCCCACTTTGTTTGCTTGAACCTGTCTCTGGGTAAACACAGTGTGATGAGAGACAGATGTGCCTTGCTCCTGTTCTGACATCTGCCAGCATGGAAAATTTACAGTGATCTCTCAGAATTGGTGAGAGGGGAATGACAGAAAGCTCCATACAAAACCCTGAAGGGATCTGTTCGCCGCATCCTCTGTTAGCAGGATTCTGCAACTTTTCCCCAACCTTCTCCCAGGCACCACAAAAAATGCGTAAGGGCCAAGAGCAGTACAGGTCTTACACCCTTCTACCCACTTCATGATCAGGAACAACCCTATACTTGGGACACAGAAAGGCAGTGGGTCAGCAAATTCACTGAGTTCATAAAACATCTGATGTGGAGAAAGTTGTTAATTCCCCTTTAAGACCTGCCTCTTCAACACTAAATTTTTCAGGCATATTAACCCAGTGCTGCATTTTCACAGCTGACATAAATCTGCGTGGCAAGGGAATTTACAGCAGACCTTGGCTATGTAGTTATTGGCTATAGCAATCTTGCCCCATGCAGAACAATATGTGGAACAAGCCATCATTTACAGCTGGATTTATACCTGTTTGTTCTAAAGAAATGAACTTGGCAAATCATAAATTCCCTTTTAAAAAAAGGAGACAAAGAAGAAAGGTGGAAAATAGACAGGACCAGCTAATGCCTATAATGTAGAGCCTTCCAGGAAGCTGTTCTGCAGAAGCTCTAATGGGCCAGTGTCCCTTCACGCCAACAGCAAAGCAATTCATTTGGGAAGTCAAATTGGGCCTAAACAACCTCCAAAAATCCCTTTGTCCCTGAATTCTAGCAAAGTTGTACTCCAGGATTTATTGTTCAGCTCCTTCTGTACCAAAGCAGACAAGCAGCACAGAGCCAAAGGCTCCTGGGACTTTGGGGAAACGCTGGTACACATTCAAGCCTGTCTAGGAACTGGTGCATAAGGACTGCACCATCACAGCTTCTGGCTACCCAGACATATGATCCAGGTGATAAGCAGCATCCATTCAGCTGCACATCACAACATGATACAACAGATTGGGATAGAAAGAATGCAGGCAGGACTTCATAAACATCTTGCAGCAGCTGGATATTTCCACAGACGACAACAGCTATCAACAGACTCAGTGTTTACTTGACTCCGAGATGGAGAAGCCACAGTTGAGGAGAGTCAATGTCAGAGGTTAGCCTTACCTAGGTGAGCAATGGATGCTTCCAGCGCTTTCACAGCTGCAGCATAAATCCCCGAGTGCTTTGAGTTCAGGTTGTCAGTGACTGCTGCTACCAGAGAGACCAGCACTGGGTGTAAGGCAGCTCTGAGCATGGGTATCATCAAAACCAGTGCCTCCAGCGCCTGCTGATTCACTTTCTTGTGCCAATCATGAAGTCTCAGGAAAAAAAGATCAAAAATCTGTTAAGAAAACAAATGACATTAAAGCTGGATTTAAATGTCTTTGTTTCAAGAAGGATGTAGAAACAAGTACCCAGCAATGTAAAAGATTAATGTAATCCTTTTTGTCAGGTCAGCACTGGCTAGCACAATTTCACTGTTTTCCTGTGGGCTACTCAGTGTAGTGGTTGCACAGCCTCATGCTGGTTGAAAAGATTTTCATATTTTATTAAGAGGTTTCAGTGGGGACAGGATAGTTCCTATGCTGTTTCTCTTTACCTATAAATCATTAAATTAATCCCATTTTAATAATGCAAAATAGTATCTTTGGTATAGAGGTATGAAAACAGGTATTTATGATGTCCATTTTTCCATAAAGTTGTCTCAAGTACTGAGGGTAGTTTTGATTTTGCCAAAACTGTGGCTCGATGAGATCCAAGTTTTGTTTTATCTGTCTCAGAACCTGCGTCTGGAGGACTGCAGGGCTCTGATGAACTCTTCGGGACCCAGACCATTTGTCTAGCTAACAGGTAGACTTCTGAAGTTTAATGTGCTGTGCAGTCCTCATTAGAGCATGTTCAGTCCCTTGACAGCCACATTATCAGGCACCATTTTCTGGAAAAGGGGAAAAAAGCAGCTGCTGGGAGGAGAAGGAAGAGAAGATCTGTCTCTAGCCATTTTCCTCCTCTTTCCAAAGAGAAAAAAGGACCCCCAGGAAGGGTGAGAACAGTCTTTCCCAAGCAGGAAAGGGATGAGGACAGAGGTGAAAAGGCAGAGTTGTGTCGGTGCAAGACAAGATAAAATTTACAGGAGCATCCTTTAAAAAAAAGAAATTTTTTTTTTTTTTAAAAGTCAACCTAGCCTGATACTTCTCTCCCCCATCCCAACCCATTTTTCTTCTAGAGAATAGTTGCCAAGCTTTCAGTGGCTGGATTTCCTTTATTTCAACCTAACTGGTAGTAGGAGACAGCAGAAGCCACAGCAACAGTAAATTCTGTCATCATCTCATGAACAGCGCCAATAGACACTTGCCAGAGAAATACATCTGGACTGAAATTACTTGCCTTGAAGCCTGGAGTTGAATTAAATTACTCTGGGTAAGAAGGGACCAGCCTGTCCCAAACAGCCAGTATGTAGTGCCAAGACACACTGAGCTAACTTTACTGGTACAGGCTTGGGAAGGGAGCTAACAGGAAAGGAGCAATAGAGAGCCCTACATACCTGGACAATGTTTTTGGAGATGAGCTTGGGGCTGTTTTTGCAGTGATCTAGGAGGAGCACCACTCCCTCCATTCGTGTCTGAAAATCCTTGTCTGCCAGGAGCTCATAAAGCTCCCGGAGCTGTTCAGTTTCTTCCACAGTCCGAAGTGATGTGCGACGGACTGTCTGACGGGGTAAGACGAGTACGTCAGAGCCAGACCTCAAACTGGAAAATAAAAACAAGGTAAGACCTTTTGGTGATAATATCTTCAGTTAATTGTGAGGAAAACATCTCGAGGAGACTTCCTAATGATGTGATTTCAGCTAGATCCTGATCTCAAAAGCAACTTGGATCTCATGACATTCGTTACAGGAGACAATCTGAGACAATCTGCAAGTAACATTATCGCTAGTGCTTACTCAGGAAAACCAAGGCACTGAGGATGGGATTCATCTCATTGATCTTCAGATATCTTCCCAGCTACTCATCTAGCATCCCTTTGTGGCGAAAAATAGGCACTACTTCAAAGTTTAAATGCCTCATCTTATGGGAGGTGTCTGTATTATAAGGAAGTTAATTACTCTGGAGAAGTGTCTCTACAAGAGGTATGGGAATCTGGATAAATAGCTCAGATGCATCTAAACAGATTCATCCTACCCAGAGAGATTAAGGGGCATATCTGAAAGGATCCTGAGGATCAGTAACAGTGATAAAAGCAGAAGCCAGACATCCCACCACAACACTCACATTATTGCTTCCCTAGGGACTGGATTCACAGCTTAACAAACTCAATAGGAACAATTCTCTTGGATCAACCTCTCTGCCATGAGCGTGGGGAGATCCTAACTATGCTAGTGAGGCATGTGGTCACCTTCCTGCCACCACTGAGCACAACGGAGCTAAGCACAACAGAGCTAAATAAATCCACTCTGTTATCAGAGGAGAACAGGTACAAGTAGCTCTCCCGCTGGCATGGGGAGACAGCAAGGACCAAATTCCTAT